TCACTGTCTCATTATAACTGTTTACTTTGCTTTCTTTAGCTTTCTTCAATGGCACTGAAACTTCTTCCATGCTCCTCTTCAACTTGATCTTTGTCGCATTTTCTGGGGTTATACCCGACTTTTGGTGGCTTATTGGATTTCCACATTCCCTGACAAAATTCTGGTCATTTATTTTCATTGTATCAGCTACATCCTTCATAATTCCATTCAAATCTTTCACAACAGGATCCTCTAAGGGTTTCTCTCCATGAATCACAATATTCATCAGGTCTATCAGTTTGGTCATTTGTTCCTTTGAATCATCCTGAAACTTTTTTGCCTGATCAGTCATTTCTTGTTGAGTCTTGATAAGTTGCTCTTGCAGTTTCTCAATTCTACCAACCCTTGCTAAAATCTCATTCATGGTTCTTTCTCTCTTTAGGAAGATCAAGTTAGATCCACTTTGATTTCAAAAGTTCTGTCATGGAATCCTCCACGAATTATTCCCAGGTTTTCATGATTAAATGCATGTAAAACAACTTGAAACAAAATGCAATTATGTAAAGATGCAAATGCAAAAAATGAAAATATGAATATGAACGTAAAATGCAAATATGAAAAAATGCAAATATAAAAGTGTGAATGTAACCATAAAAATGTAAATTGTGCAATACAAAAGCAAACATAAAAGTATAAATGCAAAATGAAAAATGCAAGGATACAAAATGCAAATGTATGTATGAAAAGGTGTTACTCAAGAGTGATCATCTTAGAACAGATTTCATTGAACACAAAATTTTCGTTTTATCAAACAAAACTTTACATATAGGGATATCTTTCACTTCTAACTTCTCCAAAGTCTAGTTAGTTTCCATTCATGCTCAAAAGTTGAATCTTCAGCCTGCTTCATCTCCTTGTAAAGTCAGCTAAATCTATCATTTAAGAACCATATTGCTTGTCTGGACTGCAACTTCTTCCATGACATTCTCTTTCATCTTCTGTGTCACTTCTCGGAGTTGCTCATTTTCCTTTGTAAGAGAACCTTTCTGTTCAAGAAGTTCTTGAACAAGATCTTCATATAAATTACAGTTCTTTTTCAGCTTAGTGACCCCTATTATCCACTCTTTGGGGTACTTCCTAGGCCAGCATTTTGAAAGGCTTGACTGATCTTCTGAAAATCTTCATGCATGGTTTTCATTTATGTGCTCAATTTCTTGCTTTGGTCGTTCAAGTCCTTCAAATAACATGCTTGAGCTTCATAAAAATCTCCACTACTCTGAATGCCCTGACTGATGCTCTTACCATAGATTGCTTTTGGTATCAATCTGGTACGATCTTTGTGTAATACTTTTGGTATTAATATAACTGGTTCTCTGTATACAGAACTTCCCTCGATCCTCGTAGTTTCCTCAGGATGTCTTTCCTTGGCCGCATCATATTTTGTTTGATCATAAAACTTTTTGTCCATTTACAATTTCTTTCCAATTTGATGAACAGTCTTTCAAGTCAACACCTTTTAGTCATGCCATGATCATACAATGTAAACAAAAGAAAACAAATAAAAGCAAAACAAAATGTATGAAAAAATGAGAAAGGAAAAATAAATTAGTTAGTACCAAGAAAAGATTTTATCTATCCAGGTATAAATCCTAACCTCATGCTTTCTAGTTCCATGCATTGTTTGGAAAATTAACCTAACCGCATGATTACTAGTTCGCAGGCATTTATTCAGAAAAAATAATAAATAAATAAATTAAAAGCTAAAGCTTATTTCTCCTTTGTGTACACCTAAGGACAGAGGTTCATACTGTCTTAGATCAGGATAAGTTCTAAGGTTTATTATATGCAGGGTTTTAGTTCTAGGAGTAAAGGTACTCGAACTGTCCTTGTTGATGCCCCCTTGGGCTATCAAACCCTCAATCCTAATCCATTACAGACTTAAGCGGATCGAGTTCAATTCGAGGGGATACATTTCTCTATGACTAACACGGAGAATAAATTCTCACGAAGACATAGAGCATATAAACCCCGAAAGTTACTTGCTAGGTCTGACACGGAGAATAAATTCTCACGAAGACGTCGCTTTCACTCCCACTTAAAAGGGACAAACTCAATTATAGAGCTTTATGTTATGCAATGCAAGTGTTGTGTGTGAGGAGAAATGTTCAAACCTCTAACAAATAAATAATAAAATTTAATATTTGAAAATAAAGCATTAAATAACATATAAATATTATGAAAATAATAAGTATATATATAAAAATTTTGAAAAGAAAGAATTAAAAATTAAATATATGAATTTTTAATTTTCTAATTGATAGAGACAATTAATAATTGGTTTTAAAGTTTGACCAGTGTCCCCAGCGGAGTCGCCAAGCTGTCGTAACCGGTTTTCGCCCGGGCACGAAATATTTACTTGGCGGGAAAATTGATGTGAATAGATAGTTTTGAAAATAATTTGGGAGTCGCCATCGGCCTTTTGGGTCAGGTAGGTCGAATACCTAAAAATTATCTTTTAACAGAGTTTTTAAGAAAACATTAGCTAAAAGATGAACTGATCTGCGTTTTAACCAAAAATTTGTTCTTTTTAATAATAAAAAGGGATTTGTGGTCGGTTACGTTTAGGGAAGGATTAACACCCCTACAACGCCCAAAATTGGTACTTTTTAATTATAAATTGTCTCTATTATTAGAAATTTAAAAATTCAAAATATATTTAATTTATAATTATGTTATTTCAAATTTTATTAATATAATTTTTAAGAAAATATATTAATTTATAAAAATATTTATTTATTTAGAAATATCAGAAAAGGACTTCTAGGTGCCTTAAGATAGTTCTTTTCTTAATATTAATAAATAAATGTTAATAAAACATTTATCTTAAAATAATTAAAATATATTAAAATATGATTTATAAAAATAGGACATTTATTTATTTAAGAATATCAGAAAAGGACTTCTAGGTATTTTAAGACAGCTCTTTTCTTAGATATTAAAAAATAAATACATATCAAAATATGTTTATTTTTAAAAGTAATTTATAAAATTAAATTTATAAATAGGATTTTTATTTAATAAACGAATAGAATAAATAAATAAATAAATATTATATAAATATGTTTATATAACTTAATAATAATAATAATAAAATAATCATGAAGATAATAATTTAAACATATATCAAACGTAATAATAAAATAAAATAATAATAATTAAAATGAAAGAATTAAAAGTAATAATATTAAAAACTAATGGATCATATTCATAAATATATGAACTTAAAAATGTAAAAATAATAAAACTTATGGTTAAAATTAAGATTATATAAAATTTAAATATTTAAGAGACATGGTTAGAATTATCATAAAATATAAATACTAGTAGTGTAATTAACCATTATTTATTTAATCAGTGATTAAAATAGAAATATTAAAATTAATAGGGACTAAATGTGATATTTGTCCTAAATATATTATTTAATACTGGTAAGGATTAAAACATAATAAAATAAAATTCGAAGACTGAATTAGAACATTCAGAAGTTAGTTTTAGTGACTAAAATGAATAATTACAAAACTCGGATGGCTACGGAAGGGGTTTAGCCATACATGTAAATTACGCATATACCCCTTCCCAAAACAACGTCGTTCGGGAAGGGGTATAAATCCCCCAAACGGCTGGCCCGAAGGGCCAGCTCTCTCATTCTCCTTTCTTCCTTCTCTCTCAACACTGAGAGAGAGCCAGAATCCTCTCGCCTCTCTCTTCAATCCTCCAAACGGAGGTTGGCCGGCCACCGGCTGATAGCCATACTCCGGCACCGACACCACCGCCGGCCACCACCCACGGTGGCTGGAATATGCAAAAAATAACCTAATATTAAAGATCTACTTGCTACGAACCCGAATCTAGCCTCATTTTATCCTAAAAACCCTTAGATTTTCTTAAATCTAAGAAAATACCTTCGGTATTTTCGGTTCTCCGGCAAGATGAGAATGCTCCGATGATCGCGTCTCTATTGATAAGCTTTTCTCCTTTTTCTTTCTTTCTGTTTTATGGATTTTGATGGTTATTGTGTTATTTTCCTCTGACTTCTTGGTAGATGTTCGTATCTCTCTTTTTTTTCTTGCTCTCTGTGGCTGTGTGTGGTTACTGCTTTGCTTGCCCTTTCTTCGTTTCTTTCCCTTCTCTCTCTTTGCAGGTTCAGTGGTGGCTTTTATAGCCACCACAGTGTACTCCTCGGACCGGTCCCATGGGTAGCATCTTTGGTGAGTCACCAAGCTATGGCGGTGACTCACCATAGAGCACTGATTTGGTGAGGCAGCTGGCTTCTGGAAAGCTCGACGAGGCCGGCGTCGTGGAAGCAGCAGCGTCGGCAGCAACTGGTTGGACCATCTGGCATCAGAGAGTCGGTCATCGGGTTGGCTTCAGGGGTGGCGCTGCGTGGTCCTAGGGTTATCATAACCCTAGGGTTTCTTGCTGGAGCATCTGGGGACCGTTGGATCAAGGCCAGATCCAACGGCTGTGAGCTGAGGCGGCTGACTGCTGGAAAAGGATGAAACCCTAATTGGGTTTAGGGTTCTGCTTTGGGCCATCCGGATTGGGTCTCCACTTGGGCCTGAACTGGGTTCCCGGGTCTTGGGCCTTCTGGGACTGATTGTAATATATTTGGGCTTGTAATTATTTTTATTTAATATATATATATATATATATATATATAATAATAATAAAAAAAAGTATACTGAAAAATTAATGTCTACACGAAGTTCATAGTAATTGTGGAAGATTTTTCAAATTGAGTTGTGTTTATCCCTAATATCATAATGATACATGTTGAATGGACTAAGCATCTTCTTAATGATAAAGAGTAAGAATCTTTATCAGATTAGATGCTTAATGCCTTCATTCATGTTGTTTCTGCAACAAATTGTAATTTAGTTTTAGAGGGGCCATGACAACTTTCTATATAAATATATAAAAGTAAATATATTTCTTATCAAAATTCGTATTTGCTTATATAGGTCATTGCTGATAGTCTATCAGAAGAGGAAATTGCAGGCCTGAAAGAAATGTTTAAGATTATAGATGCAGATAATAGTGGACAGATCACTCTTGAGGAACTGAGATTTGGTTTGGGAAAAGTTGGTTCTAATCTCAAGGATTCCGAGATTAACGGGTTAATGCAAGCGGTAAGCATCTTTAGTAAACTATTAGTCGACGTTTGAGGGAAGAATTATGAAATAGGAGAATAGACGAAGCTGTTCGAACAAGAAGTTTTTTGCTGCATTTGAAACTTCATTCTCCATTCATCATCTCAAATTTAAGATCAACTGGCATATGCATGGCGTACTAGGCTATAACATTGTTGCTGATATGGTATAATTATGTTTTAAAAACCACAGGCAGATATCGATAACAGCGGTACTATAGAATATAGCGAGTTCATAGCGGCCATGCTTCATCTGAACAAGATCCAAAAAGAGGATCATCTGTTTGCAGCTTTTAACTACTTTGACAAAGACGGGAGTGGCTACATCACTCCAGATGAGCTCCAACAGGCCTGTGAGCAGTTTGGCTTGCATGATGTTCACTTGGAAGATGATATACGCGATGTCGACCAAGATAATGTAAATACCTAACAAGCTGACTTTTTTAACTTTGATTTTACGTACTTATATTGATTTATCTTGATATCTTCTCTTCAGGACGGGCGTATCAATTACAGCGAGTTTTTGGCTATGATGCAAGACACAGGTTTAGCCATAAATCACAAAACCTTCAAGTACTGATACACCATCTTGCTATGGTGAGACTCCTTAATCCATATTTCTTTACATCTGACTAAAATTTTGATCTTTAACCTTGGATCTTAGAGGCAATCCCTGCTGTATATCAGAAAGTTGGCTAGTAATTTCGATATCTGAAACTTGTTAGCAGTTATCATTTGAATGTATTGAGCTATGTTACTTCTACTCTTCATTTTTTTTTTCACGAAGCACCCATGTCTGATACCTATGTCCAACTCATATCCTAACAAGAGTATGGGAAACCCTTCCATACATGTAAAAACTTAAGCTAACTCATATCCAATAGTTACACCCAATCCGAGATTTCTCGATCGTTTTGGCCCCGGATTTCTCGAAAGCTAACTCATTCATTTGCCCTCATCTGGAAAGAAATATGACCTTAAGGTATGTTGATGGCATCGAATGGCATCCAATGCATGTTTTAACCATTTATGTAAATGACTTGCATGATTTCATCTGAAGTGAAAGGTAGTTGGTACCCGTGCTCAACACAAATTCTTTTAACAGCTCTGAAAGAAATTGTATTATGTACAATGCTCTGTCCAGTAGCGATGGTGGTGGCCGGTAAGGTGAACTCGATCATCGTGCAACCACAACTTAACGAATATGAAAGGGAAGGTTATGCAGAAAAAGAAATGGCGTAAAATATCATGCAAGTTCTGCTGGCGAAGATCGGATTGTTGACAAGGAGAGCCCTCGGCAGAGGGGTCAAAGCTTATACCAACCTATATTTTTGCACCTAGACGATGGCGTGTTTCGCAAGACAAGACAAAATTCTATTGATTGACAGACGTGTTTATTCTTATTGTTGAGTCTTTAAATAGTAATAATAATTCTGACACCAACACATATACGTATAAATCTTTATTTTAGATAAAAGAAAAAATTGATCTTCTTCCAAGACTTCTTCACTCATTACCTCTAAAAATATCTCTCTACGTTGCCAAAATTATGGTTCGTTTTCTGCTCAAATCAAAAGAGATAATTCATAAAAAATGGACATAATTCATTTATTCCCATCAACGGTTCAATCTATTATTATTTTATCAATTTTTCTAATATATTTTATACATAGGTAAAAATTATATATATTATAATAATAAAGTGGTTAAAAAAAATATGATAATATAAATATTCATATTCAATGTTATTTGATAGGTGTTAGTAATGGAATATTAGGTTTGGATAAAACATTGGATCCACAGCTACGAGCACACAACCAGCCAGAAACATTGCAGCGGACAAAAGAGATGGGATATGCTAATGAGTTTGGTTCCGAAATCCTTTTTATTTTTATTTTAAATTTTGAGGTATAAGGGAATTTGATGAATTTCGTGGTGATGACACGTATCCCACAACCCATGATAGTGGGCTCTCATGATCCGGTAGAAAGGCTCATCGATAGAAGAGGCGCCAACGAATTCGAGTCATCATCTCATCCTCAGATCTCACCATCGCCTCTAATATTCCAAGGCCTCCGAATCTTAATCTTCTTCTTTTTTTCTTTCCAGGTAGGTAAGCTCGCTCTGTTTAGTTTCCTCTTCATTCTAATTTTCCCCCCACTATATGTGTTTTATTTGATTCATAATTTTGAAATTTTCACAAGCTTCTATTTGTTCGATTAAGGTTACTTTTCAGTTTTTTGTTTGTTTGTTCAATTTTCCACTTATTCTGAGTGCTTTTAAATTGTTTGGATTGATTTGTTATAGAAGCTTGCGCAGTTAATCTTTTTTTTTTTCCTTTTAAGAAAAAAAAATTAGTTTGTTTTCTTTCAATGTAATTACAAGAATATGTTCAACTTAGATTGTTTTAATTTTGATTGATTTAGACTTTTTTTAGTGTTAGTATTATCTTTATTAAATTGACGGAAAATTATATCACCCATTATTTTTTTTGGGAATTTTGGCAATAATTTTACAAAGTAATTTCTGCAATACGATCCTAACTCAGTTCAATGGAATTTGATTTTAGTTTCATATATTGAGTAATTGCCTTTCACGCTATAGGATTTTGATTGGTACAATACTCATGGATCGGATTACTAAGGCAGCACGTCTCATGATTGTATCTGATCTTGATCATACAATGGTATGCATTTATCTTTGAATATTTGCTTTAATTTTCGGATTTGCTTAATTCGATACGATGAGAAATTTCCCCCTTTTTCAGGTTGATCATCATGATCATGAGAACATGTCTTTACTTAGGTTTAATGCTCTGTGGGAGTCGAATTATCGTCATGACTCTCTGCTGGTTTTTTCCACTGGGAGGTCACCTATTCTGTACAAACAGCTAAGAAAAGAGAAACCCATGCTGACTCCTGATATAACTATCTTGTCGGTGGGAACTGAGATAACATTTGGCAACTCGATGCTTCCGGATGATGGCTGGGTTGAAATTTTGAATCAGAAATGGGATAGGAACATAGTCACTGAAGAAACCAGCAAGTTTCCTGAGCTCACTCTTCAGGTTTACTTAATATATGGTTTTAACTGCAACATCATATCTAAACATTGAGATTATTCTGTTGAGTTTCTTCAATGCAACCGGATATATTGGTCAGGCCTTGATATCTTTGATGAATTCAAGCATGTTGGAACATGCAGGCAGAAACAGAGCAGCGACCACACAAGGTTAGCTTTTATGTTGACAAGACTAAGGCCCAAGTAGTGATGAAGGATCTTTCAGACTGTTTGAAAAAGCGAGGGGTAAGATTCAGCTTACTATCAAGGATGCTATGCATCCTACGATATGCAGTTTTCCCAAGTAAATATGCTTTGAAAGATGTTCACATTGGCATTCATTTCTTCTTCATATTGCTTGCTTAGTTGTTTCATGTTCATTGAAAGTTTTATTGCTATCATTAACTTGTGTCTTATTTTGTTTCAGTTGGATGTTAAAATAATTTATAGTGGAGGAATGGATTTGGATATATTACCACAAGGTGCTGGCAAAGGACAAGCCCTCGCATATTTACTAAAGAAGTTTAAAACTGAGGGAATACTACCAGTTAATACTCTTGTCTGTGGTGATTCTGGAAATGATGCTGAACTCTTCAGCATTCCAGATGTGTATGGAGTCATGGTTGGTAGTCTTAACCATTTTAAATAATTCAGAGTTGCTCTTTGAGGCCTCTTAATCTTTTGCTCGCTCCAGGTCAGCAATGCCCAAGAAGAATTGTTGCTATGGCATGCTGAAAATGCAAAAGGTAACCCTAATATAATCCATGCAAAAGAAAGGTGTGCAGCTGGAATCATAGAGGCCATTGGACATTTTAACCTTGGTTCAAACTCTTCTCCAAGAGATGTTGCTGATTTTGTGGAATGTAAGGTAGACCATGTCAATCCAGGTTATGAAGTAGTGAAATTTTACTTGTTCTATGAGCGATGGAGGCGAGGGGAGGCTGACAACTGTGAGACTTCCATAGCAAGTCTAAAAGCTTCTTGTGTACGTTACTGTTCTACCTTCTCTTTAATTAATATGTTTTGTCTGTGGTATGTTATTGCTCTAGTTGGTTGTTTATTTTGAGGTGGTGCATCATTAGCTTTTATATTTTGTTTAATCCAAACTCTTTACACATTGGAAATTTGATTCATAATACTTGCCATGATTTATAACCATCTCTGAACAGGATGAATTAGCTTTCCTGTATATAAGTGTGTTAGTGAATCAGGTTTTTTAATACGTTCCCTCATTGCATTTTTCCATATGATTTTAGACACGGTTTCTTTATTGTATTTGTTTCTTCCATCATTGTTCTATGTAAAATGTGACCAACCTATAGCACCCCATTGCTGATAAAACCAGGGCACTGCAGGGAAGAAAAGTTGTGGGACTTTTGGGTAAGCATGGTCGGTAACTAGGAAGGGAAATAGGTAAAAGTGTATCAGCTTGTTCTTAAGTGATATTATGCATCTTAAACTTGATTTTATCATACGATGATAAATTGGGAACTCTTCACTCAGCCAAAGATTAGAATTTGTCATGGGTGTGTGTATCTACAAATTGGGGCGCTGCGGATCAGTTTTTGGATGAGCTTGTGGTTAGTCACAGATTTACCTAACTCCCGTGAATTGGTTTCCTTGACCTATCATTTCTTCTAAGAAAATATGGTTTCCCTTTTTCATTTACTAAACAAAATCTATTTTGAGTTTTTGAATCTTACTAATTAGTACCACGCATAAACTGTTATTTTTCTCAGGATCCATCTGCTACTATTGTCTTTCCGTCTGGTGCCGAGAAAACTCTTCATGAATGCATACACACAATGAAAGAGCGCTACGGAGACCAAAAGGGTAAACAGTTCCGGGTCTGGGTGGATAGTGTATTGTCCACACCGATCAGCTCAAGCAAATGGCTAGTGAAGTTCGATAAGTGGGAGTTATCTGGTGAGAGTTATTTCTTTATAAAATTGCCTTGCAGTCTCATTTTCTTACAATCAAAGCTCATATTGTATTTCCAATGGAAAATACCAGTTTTATGAACATGTGCACTATGCTTCTGCCTTATGCACTAGGCGAGCTTCTAGTAGCCACTGATTTCTCACTTTTCATTGATTTGCTATTTCTTGTAGGAAATGAGCGCTGTTGTTGTGTGACCACTGCTAAAATAAATGCTAAGGTAAGAATTGTTAATTCTTGGATTATGTTTGATTGATACTTTTGCTATTGCCTTTTGTTTTCTATTCATTTTTCTAAAATATGAGAGGAAAATTTGAATAGCAAAAGCATCAAACAAATGGAGCTGTAATATGTAAGTTGGGTACTCGAAAAAGATCGTTTTTTTTATTTTCGATTTATTTGATTCAACTCGAATTTTTGGTCAGGATTAATTCGAGTCAAGTTTGAATTTATGAAGTTCGAATAACTGAAAAACTAAAAATTAAAACATTTTTTTGGTCTTTAGCTAAATATTGTTTTGTAATTTAGTCCCTGATTTTCTTGTTTCTTCAATTACTCCTCCATTTTAAGTTCATTTTGACCAAATTCGAACGACATGCTCCTCAACCATTGTAGAATATATTTGTACCTCCAATTTCTCTTTGTGACAACAAATTTCCTTTTTTTGCAATTTAGTTCCTCAACTTTGTATTTTGTTTAATTTGGTCCCTGATTTTCATGTTTCTTCAATTACTCCTCCATTTTAAGTTCATTTTGACCAAATTCGAACGACATGCTCCTCAACCATTGCAGAATATATTTGTACCTCCAATTTCTCTTTGTGACAACAAATTTCCTTTTTTTTTGCAATTTAGTTCCTCAACTTTGTATTTTGTTTAATTTGGTCCTCTGATCGTAACTGAATAAATTCTTTCTTCCCATCAGTTCTTCAACTTCTTTAATACTCTATTCTTTAAAAAATAATATTATAAATATGTTATTTAGTTTTAGATGAAACTTGATTTATTAAATAACATTATAAATCTTACGTACATAGGTGTAAAAGAATATGAAAAAAGTATATACATACACCTCATATGTTAGAGAGTTTAAATTGGGACCATTTAGTAGTATCATGACAATATAAACAATAACATTTAAATTTCAACAAAATCTTGGATAAATATATTCAATTTGACTTGACTCGACTCGGAAATTTTTTAAATAAAATTTGAATAATAAAATGATATTCATAAACTTAACTAACTCGATTTTTCTTTTCATTCTGTTCCATTAAGTACTCAACCTAATGTTAATTTATCACTGAAGATTGTTTAACATTATTTTGTTCTAAGATGATTGCCTTTGTGTTGGAAGGGATCTGATGCTTCAGAGGGGTACACTTGGATGAATGTGCAGCAGAAGTGGTTAGAAGGATATGAAATGAAGGATGATTCAACCTGGACTTTCTAAGGTACACTGCAACAACATTCCGACTCTGGAATCTGTTTGAAAATTCTATATGAATAAATGTATCCAAAATTTTAATATATTTTTACATATATTTGAATAATTAATATGGAGAAGATAGTATGTTTAGATAAACAGAGATAGATAGATACCTTGGCTTATCTCTTGTTTATTCTATTTATTTTCTATGCTCATGCACTTTATACTGCATCAATGAGTTAGAAATTTGCATTATCCTTTCCTTACTGCATCTAAAATTGCTTATTTTATATTTGATCTTCTTTTGTTTATCTTTCATTCAGCGACCAGTTAATAAACATTTAGGATTTGGCTTAATTTACAAATTTTCTACTTATGTTTTTTGAGGCCATTTTCTACTTTTGGTTTAAGGATTTTAAATGACCGGAGCTTTAACAAACATATACACACACGATTATATTCGTTTGTTTAATTTTAATCTATCGTATTCGATTTATATTCACTTATTTAAAATTATGTATTCATTTGTATGTTCACAATCGTTAGTTTAATGTTTATGAAAATAGAATTGAATAAGTTTATGAACAATTTAAAACTTGTTAATGAATAATAAAAAAAACAATATATTTATTATTTATATATATATAAAATATAAAAATTTAACATTAATAATTATATTACAAATAAAATAAATATAATTTTTTATAAAAACATTAATTTTAATAAACTAACTAATAAACGAGCTTATAAACGAATTAATAAATAAATTTGTGAATATAAATGAATCGAATACATTTTTATTCAAATTTGTTATTTTAATTAAATGAATATAAGTTTCGGTTATTACTTATTTATTTGATTTAATAAATATGTAGAATATGAATGATTCACGAGTAATTTATCGAATGATATGTTTATTTATGATCTAATTTTTTAATTGAAAATAGGAAAAAATATTTTTCTTTAAACAATTAAAACTTGAAAGCTTAACATTCATGAATAACATAAATACATTATTTTTCGGGAGTGGAAGTCCAATTTACTCATTGAGAGAAGAATATATGATTACTTTCGTAAAGAGAATTTAAAAAACTTTATTATTATTTTTTTTATTATCTAAAAAATATTATTATTGTATTTGTTTCAATGACTCTAAATCATTTAATAATAAACACTCAATATCATATAGTTGTTGATGCTCGATCTTAAGACTGTAGGGATAATAACTGTCATTTTTTTGTCCCCTTTAGTTCCAAGATTTTGCCGTGACTAATCTAGACTAACCCGAGTCGCATACTGACATTGATGGGTGAATCTCTTCAAAGTATAAAAGAAATCAATATAAATCTAAATTTAATATTAAAAAGTTAATGAAAACTCAAGTAAAAAGTAATAATATTTAATCTAAATAATATTTATGTTTTTTATCCAAATAAAATCATGTGAACAATTATGCTAAGTGTGATTCGTAAATTAGAACATATTTAATTATATTTGAGTTTTATATTTTTGGAACCTAAAAAAATATGGTATAAATAAATATTTTTCAAAAAAAAAAATACACTTCATATCCCAATCCCATTGTTTCCCAAACTCATTTCATGTTCTTATTTTCTCTTTTCTTCTACCTCGGTTAAACTCCAATTCATCGTCGTCCATGTATTCATTCAAGACACCGTCCACATCAAATGAACTAGTTCATTGTTTTACCTCCCTCTGGTATATAGGGATGGACTGTGAGGGTGTTGTTGTGCAATAGCACCCTTAGAAATTTTGAATTTCTCTATAGTTTAAATATTTTAGTCATATTCTCTATTAATAATCTAATCTCGTAACCCTTAGAATTTTATGATTTCACACCCCTAATATTTACAACCTTATCTTTATATCTAAATTAAATATTTAAACTAAAATTGTGAAACTAGAAGTGGATTTGAGATTAGATTGAATAAAACAAGGGTTAACTCTACTAGTGACCACCCAATTATAGCCCCTTTTCATTTTGACCATAATTTTTGAATTTTTATCAATTGGGTCATTCAACTATTTAAATACATTCAATCATGCCAACATTTAACAGAAGTGTTGATGTGACAGTTAATAAAATTAGTCTAACTACACATATAGTCCTTATTACTTATATATTCTATCAAATTGATCACAACTTTAAATTAATTTAATATATTTAATCCACCAATCATGTGACGATAAGTGTCAAAAGTGGCATATGTCATGACACGTATTACAACATGATTGGATGAATTTTTTAAAGGAAAAATAAAACAAAGTTGAACTAGGCGCCTTAGGGAATCTAACTGAGGACCCGGTGGATAACAAGCAACAAACTAGCCACTAGAGCAATCCCAATATTTGCTACTTGTTTTCAAAATATTTCATATATTATGTTTCGTGGCAGAAAAATGAAAATAAAAAGCTATTGATTGGATTCAAACATGAAATTTTATGTTGGGGTGGTCCACCTTAACTAGCAAAGTAAATAAAAAAATATAAAGAACACTTGCACTGTTATTTATATATTGTTAATATCTATTATAAGTACAAGTTTGAATTTTTTATTTTTTAAATTAAATTGTGTTAATTTTATTTTTCATAATTATTTTTCAATTATTATATATGAATATATTTTAAAAATAAAATTATATTAAGATTTTATTTAACGAATCTAAAGTTAAAAACACAACTTAAATATATAAATTATTTTTTATTTTTCATAATTATTTTTAAATTACTATATATGTATTATAATTTAAAAAATAAAATTGTATTAAAATTTTATTTAACAAATCCAACGTTACAAACACAATTTTAATATGTAAACTTATGTTTTAATAGTGTAAGTGTTTTCAAATGTTTGATTTACTTAATTCACTTTATATTAAAAATTTAATGTTCGAATCCAATCAATAACTTTTTATTTTCTTTTTTCTGCCATAATTCGAAACATAATATATAAAATACTTTGAAAACAAGAAACAAGTAGGGTGTGTACTCCAGTGGTTGAGGAACTATTTAAACTTCACCAGGTCTTGGGTTTAATTCTCCTAGGCGCTCAGTTCAACTTTGTTTCTTTTTTCCTTTAATCAGGTGGCAACACGTGTCACCACCTGATTGGTGGAAATATAATTCAATTAAAATATTAAGAAAATTTAAAAAAGTCATCTAATCATGTCATGACATGTGTCGTCACATGATTGAAGGATTAAATATATTGAATTAATTTAAAATTATGATCAATTTGATAGAATATGTAAGTAATAAGGACTAAATGTATAATTATATCAATTTTATTAACTGCCACATCATCATTTCCGTTAATTGTTAACGGCAAGTGGCCTGATTGAATGCATTTAAATAGTTGGATGATCCGTTTGACAAAAATTCAAAAATGATGGTCAAAATGGAAAGGAGCTATAGTTGTATTGTCATTGGTATAGTTCACCCATAAAAAAATATAAGAATTGAATGTACACAAAATAATTTGGATGTTTTCAAAAGCGTATGAAAATAGGGGAGTTATCAAATAATTTCCCCTTCAAATACAAACTGCCCCAGGGGTTTTGTTTTTCACGAACAAAAATTGACATATATTTTCCCCCAACTTTCTCTCAAATTTTTTCAATTTTCTTGATTGTTTCATAAAATTCAAACATCAAAGAACCAAATCCTACTTTTTTTTCGAAAATTAGTCTTAAGAGCATCAGAAAATCACCCCCAAATCCTGATTTTCTTCATTTTTCTCATAAATTAGCTTTCATTGATTTTTTAATTTCGAAGTTCGAAATTGAGGAAAGAAACTTGTTTTTGATGTAATTTTAAGTTATTAAGCTGTGAAATTCCATTTTCATTCATAGTTTAAAATATATACGTTATTTTCAATCTTAAGTTTACTTTAAGGGCTTCTATAGTGAAATAATAATTTTATTAAATTTCTTTAATTTTAGAGCTTCATAAGATATCTTCTAGTGTTCAATAAAAGATTTATGACTCATTCTCAACTTAAAATCATTATATTGATAATCAATTTTGAAAATTCTTGTTTAACAATTCTTGACTTTGACTTTAACTTTAGGTTTGTTTGAACTTTAGGGTTACTAGGTAGATTATTATTTCTAAATTAGAACTTATGATCCAGTGGTAATAGTAGAATGCTTAATTGAGGTTTAGAATATTTAAATTGAGATTTAGTAACCCCTTGGGAATGTAATAAGGTTGCTGATGGAATGGCTCAGGCAGCTTGGGATTTACCGTTTGGCTGTCACTCTTTCTCTCTTCCTCCTATAGTGGTCCGTGATCTGGTGCAGGCGGAGAGTGTAACTTATTCTGCTGAATCTACATAATCTCACCGCAGGCTGATCCTTTTCTATTCTTTTTCTTTTTAGATTTTGTAAAATAAAAGCTTAAATTGAACTAGTTTAGCTAGTTAAGAGAAAACGGAAGAGTGAGGAACCTCTAAAGCTCGATATGGTCGAAAAAATTAGTTCTTTTTTAAAAGAAAAGATTCTTCCGAAAGTTATATTGGTTATTTTCATATTGAAAATTTGGTTGATCATAAGGAACCCAAACTTAATAGTAATTATCCTTGTATTAGTAAGAGCTCTTCAATACCAAGGTCGGCACCCATTAATTCTCCAATAATGGATAATCGTCTGAGATCAAGTATCAAATAGACCCAACACCTCTCGTCCAACATGTATGCACGGTTCTCTTGTACTCACTATAGTACTTGTATGTTTTTGTAAATTGTTAACGCAAAGTTCGTATTTGATTTTTATCAAAGTAGTAAACTAGTTTTCATTGGAATCTAGGTTCTAGCATGGCCGTTGACCGCAATAAACAGATTATTCAGTAGATTTTCTTGTTAGACTTCTCACCTCAACAAATGTATTTTTTTTCTTATAGTGTTATATTTTCATTTTTTATTTATCTATATCACCATGATTGGCAGAGTTCGTGATTGTATCACATATTTTTTATTTATTAAAAATCATGATTTCTGGTTATCGTTATTTCAATGATTTGTATGTATATTTTGGATTACTAAAATGATTCAATATTTTATTTTGAAAATAAC